CATGGCCTAAACCAGGACTAAATCAGAACTAAAGACTGAGACTCAACGGGGACTCATCTGGGCCTCAACCAGGTCTAAACATAGTTTAAACATGGTCTAAACATGGCCTACACGTGGCCTAAACTAGAACTAAACCAGGACTAAACCAAGACTAAAGACTAGGACTCATCTGGGCCTCAACCAGGACTCAACCTGGTCTAAACATGGTCTAAACATGGTCTAAACCAGGACTAAACCAGGACTAAAGACTGAAACTCAACCGGGACACATCTGGGCCTCAACCAGGACTCAATCAGGTGGAAATGTGGTTTAAACATGGTCTAAACATGATCTGAACATGACCTAAACACGGTCCACACTTGGTCTAAACTAGAACTAAACTAGGACTAAAGACTGAGACTCAACTGGGACTCATCTGTGCTTCAGCCAGAACTCAACCAGGACTACACATGATCTAAACATGGTCCAAACATGGTCCAAACCTGGTCTAACCCCAGACCCAAACATGACCTAACAAAGAACCTAAACCAGGACATAAGTCACATTTCGATCCGTGAACCCGGCTCATTTTTTTGTTTATGTTCTCGCCTCTCGTCTGTTTTGGTTGTTACGGGTGCCTGCGTGGGACAAAAACCGGGGTCAGAGTTGAAACCTCACCCGGGTGGTCGCGTTACTTCCTGTTTTGGGTCGCGGTCCCTTAAACGATCAAAGCGTCCGGGCGGTGGACACACGATCGGCCCGTCCCTGAAGTCTGAGCTGAAGGTTGGACTCTGCGGGCTTCCATCCGTTACCGTTGGACAAATATTTGGAGACGGTTCTTTAAACTCACTCGGCAGCTCCCAAACATGCGCAATTTCGTGAAACTATTGAAGAAAAGACTTTATATTTACACTGTGTATTTTGTTTACCTTCTCGTGTTTGGGAGTTGTAAACACGGCAGCTTTGTTCAGCACATGTTGGGTCCAGATACACTCGAGTCAAGTCAAGTTTACACATTTTATCCTGTATTTCTTATCAGGATCCAGTTCTTTACTCGTGGTGTCAGTGGTATCGACTAAAATTTGTATTATTTTATTTTATTAAGAGTTTCTTTGGGACAACAACAGAAAGCAGAAGGTCTGGTTTGAGTTGTCGAAAGATCTTGGATTTAATCATGAGTCGAATCTGCCACACGTTGTTTTCTAGAACTTTTTTCTGCGTAATAGTAGTTTTTGCGTGAGCTCCCCCTGCAGGTGTAGTCTTGTGAGTGCAGTTTGGGTCAGATACTTCGACTTAGACACTTAGACTTTATTACAAGAGAAATTATTTGCACACAGTAGGGTCGGGAGGTAATACGGCATTACGGTATCGCGAGGTATCAAAAGTAACGCTGGTATCAATTTTATTTTATTACCATCATTAAAAAAATCTGGAGCACATAAGGACCTAATATGATATTATAAATGATTGATCCCTATGTTTGTTTTCTCAGCACAAATGAATGTGAGGTTATATTTTCAGTTCAATATATCATGATTTAAAACTAACAGTGTCTATAATGTTTCTTTTAACTGTGCGGGGAGACGAAGTTTGATTAGTTTTGTTTCGTTGTCACGTGACGCTCATAAAGGAGACCAAGACAAGACGACAAGTCCAGACACAAGAGAGTTGGTCCCAGAAAAAATAAATACTAGTACTTCTGCAATTTGGCAGCATTTTGGATTCAGGCCACATTTGTTTACGTTTTACAGAAATTAAACTTAAAACCACATGACTCATTTACATAAACTATAAACACTGATAAAAACAGTTCTTTCCTTGTATCGCTGATGTGGTTCAGTTTCTGTCGGACTAAAGGACACAGTGACTCAGTAGAATATGAGTTTTCTCTCTGTGACAGAGGAGGTTCTGCTGATGTTGAGTCTGTTCTCTGTGTCGTGTTGGAGATGGTTCATGTTAAACTTTTCACAGATTATAAATCTGCATTTCATGATATGATCCCGTCCATAACTCAGTCACTGATTTACCCAGAAACCACTGGAAGAAAAACTGTGATTGGTCCATTTTCATTCCATTATATTAACCCTTTGTTTCCCAAGAAATATCAGTCCAAGTTTATAACAACGATCTAGAAATTATTACTAGTGTCGTGTTTATTACTCACTGCATAAAAAATATAGAAAAAATATATTACTAGTCCAAAAATTCATTCAATATTTTTTCTTGAGCCTTCAGAAAACCTTGAAGACTCTGAGGGTTCAACTCTGAAAGAAATACAGTTTGCACAACAAATGTTTGGCTCTTTCATTTACATTTCCAATAAAAGTGCTTGATACACTAATTATCTTGTGTATTTTAAATATTTGCACCCCTGATTAATGATTTTTTCAATAGAATAGCCTGTTTTTATAATGAAAATGCTACTTTTTTTGTAATGGCATTAAAAATAGAAAATTCCACTGTTTAATAACAAATTTTCCCTGTTATATTTGAAAAAACATAAATAAATCTTCACTAAACAAGACCAAGATTAGCATTAAAGTCCATTTGAAAACTTCTGTATCTTAATAAGGAGCAAAAGTGTCGACCATTTTTAGTTGTGGAAATTTTTAAGCAGTTTAGTAGAAAAAGGGGGTTCCACAAGGTTCAATAATAGGGCTCGTTTCATTTTAAAATACATGAAATCTACACATTTTTTAAATTCTTAAATAATCTTTATCACTGTTTATATACAGTATAAATTACATCCTATATAGTTATATTATCTTGTGTATTTTAAATATTCGCACCCCAATTATTGATTATTTTAATTGTTTAGTCAGTTTTTATAATGAAAACACAACTTTTTATCTACTAATGGCATTACAAATCTAAAAATTTCACTCTTTAATAACTAACTACCTGATATATTTGAAAAAACATAAATAAATCTTTACTAAACAAGACCAACATGAGCCATAAAGTCCATTTGAAAACTTCTGTAACTTAAGGCAGTTTAGTAGCAAAAAGGGGGTTCCACAAGGTTCTATAATAGGGCTCTTTTCATTTTAAAACACATGAAATAAATTTAGTTTTTTTTAAAATATCACACTTTATCACTGTTTATATACAGTATAAATTACATCTTTTACAGTTATTTGTTTTTTTGGTTATTATCTTGCTTATTTTCAATGTTATCTCCCTGATTATTGATTATTTCAGTAGTTTAGCCAGAAATTAAGATGAAAACACAACTTTTTATCTACCAGTGGCATTAAAAAAAAAAAAAAATCCACTGTTTATCAACTAACTACATGATATTTGGAAAAAAATCTAAATAAATCTTCACTAAACTAGACCAAGATTAGGCATAAAGTCCATTTGAAAACTGAACGAGGATCAGAAGTGTCGACAGTTTCTTGTCTGATCCGACGGTTTCTTGTGTGGTCCGTTGTTGGTCCCGTATGTCGTTCCCTCTGAAGTGAATTTGTCCCACATCCTGGACACCTGGAGCTGCTTCCTGTTTGGAGTGATGGACGGACGGGCCAATCACGTCGTGTCGCGTCTCCCGCTGTTCCCGACCGGCCCCGCCTCCGATCGCCGCTCCGATACGTTCTTCCTCGTCGGCGCGGTGGAAATCTGCGCTCAACTCTTGACCCTGGAACACGGAGGCAGCTGGGCCCGTGACACCCGAGACCTGTTTGGGTGTTTGGGTTTCTGCGGGTCGACCCGAGGTGAAACAGAGCGAGACGACAACCACAGGAGGGAGAAGAAAGAGAGGGAGGGAGAGGGAGGAGAGGAAGAGGGGGGAATGAGAGAAGAAAGGGGAGAGAGAGAAGAGTGAGGAAGTGGGGGAGAGAAAGAGATTGTGAGGAGAGGGAGAGAAGAATGACCAGAGGGAGAAAGGGAAGGGGGGGTGTGAGGGAGAGAGAGGAAGAAAGAGAAGAGAGGAAGAGGGGGGAATAAGACAGGGGAGGGGAGAGAGAGAAGAGAGACAAAGAGGGGGAGAGAGGGAGGAATAGAAGGAGAGAGGGAAGGGGAGTTTGAGGGGGAGAGGCAGATGAGGTCGTGGAAAAGGAAAGAAGATGGAGAGAGAGAGAAAGAGGGACAGAGAGGCTGAAAGGCAGTGAGCGGAGAGAGAAAGAGGCAAATGAGATGGAGAAAGAAGAGAGGGAGAGAGAGGAAAAGGGTCATTGAGAGGAGATAAGAAAAATCTGCAGTGGATATCTACATGTTTTTGTTCCTGAAACTGAAAATGGAAAACACAATGTTTTGTGTTTGAACAACGTCTAAACCAGATGCCCTTCCACACACTGAGCCCGGATCAGGCTGGAGTTTACGTTGGAGTTTACGTTGGAGTTTATCTGAAGTTTATTTGGATTCTGGTCTAAGCTCTGAGCTTCAGAGTCAAATCTGCAGATCATCAACTAAAATAAAAGAAGATCGACTGAGATCTGCTCCTGGAACCGACCCCAGATCCAGATCCAGACTCGAGAATTCTGAGTGTATTTTAAAAACGTGTCAGTATAAAAGTGCAGATCTAAACAAGAACTCAACCAGGTCTAAAACTGGACTTTGTTCGTACTAATATGACACAAGTTTGAACTCCTGAACTAGGATGAAACAAAGGCTCACGTAAAGGACAAACCAGATCTAAACCAGGTCTAAAAGAGTTCTGAACCAGATCTAAACCAGGTCCAAGAGCAGTTTAGGGCTAAAAGAGTTCTAAACCAGGTTCAACAGAGTTCTAAACCAGATCGAAACCAGGTCTAAAAGTGTTCTGAACCAGATCTAAACCAGATCCTGAAAGTCTAGATCTCTTGGATCTAAATCAGATCTAATCCAAGGTCTAAAAAAGTTCTAAACCAGGTCCAAAAGATTTGTAAACCAGATCTAAACAAGATCCAAAATTGATTTTGGTCAAAAAGAGTTCTGAACTCTTCTCTGTAGATCTTCCAGTCTCACAGATCTTCATCCTTACATATTTTCTTCTTCTTCTTGTGTTTCTCTGTAGATCTTCATCCTTACAGATTTTCTTCTAGATCTTCCACGCGAACACAGATCCTGCAGAGGTGGTGTTGAACCGAGTCCCTCAGCCGGTGTTGGCTCGTTTTGTTCGGATCCGACCTCAGACCTGGAAGAACGGGATCGCCCTGCGCTTCGAGCTCTACGGCTGTCAGATCACAGGTGGGTGTCGGTCTCTACGGGTGGGACGGAGACAGGACGAGACGACGTTTTATGTGTTAAGATTTATTTTAAAAAATGACAAAGTGAAGTCATTTTCCATCGTTTGTTTTTGACGCATTAAACAACCTTTAGTCTTTAAACACCAGTTCTCCACATGCAGCTCTACTGATCATCACAATAAACTCAATACAGACCAGTGAGACGTTATTAAACTTCATTTTGATCATTTAAATTTTAAAGATTAAACCCGACGCTGTTGTGATTCTGATAAAAAGAAGAAGAAGAAGCTGCAGATGTTGTTGCTCGCTGATGAGACGTTAGTGGTGCTGACGGTTTAAGAGTTTGCGGATCAAACTTTTATGTCGTTATGTCATGAACCGGAAGTGTAAATAATGTATGTGTGTGTGTGTGTGTGTGTGTGTGTGCAGGCAGGTTTATTTAAAAGTCGTGGAGATCGTTTTATTTAACACGTTATCTTAAAATAAACGACGTCTAGACTAGAACTGAGGCGTCCCGGAGCTCGTAAATCGATAATAAATCTGAAAACAACATGAATAACCTGATGTAAGTTTTAAAATCTTGTTGCACGATTCGTACGCAAACTAATTCAAAGTGTTTTACAGAATAAGAAAGACACAAAAAATCACAAAATAAACAAATGAAAACATCGATAATTATCATTGAATTAAGATCAAACCAGGACTAAACCAAAACTAAACCAAACTAAACCAAAACTAAACCAGGACTAAACCAGGACTAAACCAGGACTAAACCAAACTAAACCAGGACTAAACCAGGACTAAAGAACTAAACCAGGACTAACCCAGAACTAAACCAGGACTAAACCAGGAACTAAACCAGGACTAAACCAAAACTAAACCAGACTAAACCAGAAACTAAACCAGGACTAACCAGAACTAAACCAGACTAAACCAAACTAAACCAGGACTAAACCAAAATAAACCAGACTAAACCAGGACTAAACCAGGACCAGACTAAACCAGACTAAACCAGGACTAAACCAAAACTAAACAGGACTAAACCAAAACTAAACCAGGACTAAACCAGGACTAAACCAAAGACTAAACCAGACTAAACCAAACTAAACCAGGACTAAACCAGACTAAACCAGGACTAAACCAGGACTAAACCAAGGACTAAACCAGAACTAAACCAGACTAAACCAGACTAAACCAGGACTAAACCAGACTAAACCAGACTAAACCAGGACTAAACAGGACTAACCAGAACTAAAGACCAAGGACTAAACCAGACTAAACCAAGACTAAACCAGAACTAAACAGACTAAACCAGAACTAAAAGGACTAAACAGAACTAACCCAGGACTAAACCACTAAACCAGGACTAAACCAGGACTAAACCAGACTAAACAGGACTAAATCAGGACTAAACCAGGACTAAACCAGACTAACCAGACTAAACAGGACTAAACAGGACTAAACCAGGACTAAACCAGACTAAACCAGACTAAACCAGGACTAAACAAGGACTAAACCAGAACTAAACCAGGACTAAACCAGGACTAAACCAGGACTAAACCAGGACTAAACCAGGACTAAACCAGGACTAAACCAGGACTAAACAGGACTAACAGGACTAAACAGGACTAAACCAGGACTAAACCAGGACTAAACCAGGACTAAACCAGGACTAAACCAAGGACTAAACCAGGACTAAACCAGGACTAAACCAGGACTAAACCAGGACTGTGGGTGACATCACACTCACTTTGTCCACTTTTTTACACCTTAAGGTCACAAGGAAATAAATATAAGTCAGTGTAAAATCCACAGAGCCTGGAGTGTGTGTGTGTGTGTGTGTGTGTGTGTGTGTGTGTGTGTGTGTGTGTGTGTGTGTGTATGTGTGTGTGTGTGTGTGTGTGTGTGTGTGAGAGAGGGAGGAGGACTTGAATGTTTGAGATCTGTTCTAAAAATAGTCCCACTGAACAAGATCCCGTCCGTCCGCCCGTGTGTGAACGGAGCCGTTTGTGGTTCTAGTCAAACAACCTATGGGCTTTATTCACACTGACGTCACAAACAAACAAAAAACTGACAGAATTTGGGAAAACGAAGAAAATGGCACGATTTTCTTCATCTTTTTTTTTTCCTTTTTTCAATTGCCTATTCATTTACCATACCAACTTTATTTATGAAGCACTTTAAAAACAACACAACTACTAAAAAAACCATAGAAAACAATAAGATACTCACATAAACAACAACACACAGACACAACTAGAACTGCACGACACTTGTTAAAAGCCAGTGAATAAAGGTGCGTTTTTTTAGGAGTGATTTACAAACAGGTACAAGACTCCGCCTCTAATCTTTTATCGGAAATTGGTTCCACGGCGTTGGGGCTGCGACAGAAAACACACGGTCCCCACAAGGCTGCGTTTAGTGAGGGTTCCCACAGTCATTTTTCAAATCCTGGAAAAGTCACAGAATTTTGTAAAGTCGATGAAAGTTTTGGAGGAGTCATGTTATTTTAGTATCTCTTTCACGCAACTACAGCGTTCTGTTAAGTTCTCACGAGACTGTTCTGATTTTTTTCCTAAACGTCTGCGTATTTTGTTTAAAAGAGACGACCAGAGTTCACATTTCAGATTTAACCCTAAAAGTCTGATCAATTCTACACGTGCAGGTGCTGTAAAGTCATGGAAAATTCACTTTAGTTCATGAAAAAGTCATGGAAAAAGTTTTGAAGTTTTGTCAGTGAAAAAGAGTGGGAATCTTGTAATATATACCTAATACCGTTTTAGTTTTATTTCATTAAACATTACAAATCGTGTTTACATTTGTGAACTTTGGAAACTGACACTTTAAAGTTCGATATTTTCTGTTTTTTTTGGCGTCTGTTTGTGAAAATTTGACCCAGATTCATTAATTACAAAAATAACTTTAATTTGGAAACTAATTTCAATTAATTTCATTTCTGGGTCAAGACTTTTTTTATTTATTTATCTTAATATAGTTGTTCTAGTTTCATTTTTTTTCATTTCAAACTAATTTATTTGCCTGTTAAGTTTTTTGGTGGAGAATGTGGCACCTGCTTGTTTTAAAGTGATAATTTAATAATAATTAGTCTATTTATTTATATTTTAATTAGAATTGTTAACTAGGTCAAGCTTTTAAAGTGGAGGCTTAAAAAAATAAACACTATATATCAGTTTAAAATCTTAATGTTATTGTTTTAAGTGTAAAATATGTCAAAAATGTAACACTTAAATCACTTAAAATTTAATAATCGGATGAAAATAGATGGATATACTGTAGTTTAATGCCATAGTTTGGAACATTCAAGGCCAAATTTAACATAATCCACCTTTAGTTTAGTCTTTTTGATTTAGATTTAGAGTTTATTGATGCACAAAAGAAATTATTTGGACACAGAAGCTCTAATAACACTATATAATATAAAAATAAAGAGTAAAAAATAAAAATATAGTGGTAATAAATTCTAAAAAAAAGTCGCAAAAATGTCAAGAAACTGTGTCAAATGAGGCAGAGTTATAAAAATGTTTGCGTACAAGTCGAAATAAAATCAGCTCGTTCTGTTTTTTTTTACGATTTCGAGAGTTTATTGTCGTCATTCCGGTGCAGATTTTAAAAGCGTTGGAGAAAATGGAGCGTTTGTAACTCGAGTGGGCGGATTTCACCTCGAGAGCGAAGTGAGAGCGTCTTTAAGACCTTTAAGAGCCAATACAGACAGATTAATGCTCTAATGCGGAGCTTTCAACACCAAGACGACTGTACGGAGCTGGGATTTATGTGACTGTGTTTATGTTTTTAACTTTTTTACTTTTCTTGTGCTGTTCTGTTTGTTTGTAAACTGTTTGTAGTGGTTCATCTAAATCAGGGTAAAACTATTTCTGTAAACGGAACTAAACCAGGATAATACTCAGACTAAACCAGGACTAAACCAGAAAAAAACTAGGACTAAACCAGGACTAAACCAGAAAAAAACTAGGACTAAACCAGGACGTAAACAAGGACTAAACCGGGACTAAATCAGGACTAAATTAGGACGAAACCAGGTCTAAACCAGGAAATAAACCAGGACTAAATCAGGATGAAACCTGGACTAAGCCAGGACTAAAACAGGACTAAACAAGGACTAAACCAGGACTAAACTCGGACTGAACAAGGACTAAACCAGGACTAAATAACTACGAAACCAGGACTAAATCAGGACTATACAAAGACTAAACATGGAACTAAACCAGGATGAAACCAGGACTAAATCAGGACTAAACCAGGACTAAACCAAGACGAAACCATGACAAAACTAGAGACTAGGACTAAACCAAGATTATACTCAGACTAAACAGACAAAAGACAAAACCAGGACTAAACCAGAACTAAACTAGGATGAAACCTGGACTAAACCTGAACTAAACCTAAGAAACTAAATAACAGGACTAAACAAACTAAACCAGGAAACCAGGACTAAACAAGGAACTAAACCAGGACTAAACAAGGACTAAACCAGGACTAAACTTGGACCAAACAAGGACTAACACAGGACTAAACCAAGACTAAACTTGGACGAAACCAGGACAAAACCAGGATTAAACTCACACAAAACCAGGACTAAATCTGGAGAAAACCTGGACTAAACCAGGACCAAACTAGGACTAACCAAGGAACTACACCAGGGCTAAAATAGGATTAAACCAGGACTAAACAAGGAACTAAATTTGACCTACTAAATCGGACTAAAAACTAAACCAGGACTAAACCAGGACTAAACCAAGGACTAAACACTAAACAGGAACTAAACCAAGACTAAACCAGGACGAAACCAGGACAAAACTAGGATTAAACTCACACAAAACCAGGACTAAACCTGGACTAAACAGGACCAAACTAGGACTAAACAAGGAACTACACCAGGACTAAAATAGGACTAAACCAGATCCAAACCAGGACGAAACTCTGACTAAACCAGGACTAAACAAGGAACTAAATTTGGACTAAACCTGGACTAAATCAAGACTAAACCAGGACCAAATAACTTTGAAACCGGGACTAAACCAGGACTAAACCAGGACTAAACCAGGACTAAACCCAGCTCTACTCTGTCCTTGTTTTCGACTCTAAATATTCAAATGAAGTTTTCAGGTTGTTATGAAATCGTCTCTTTAATATTTGAGTAAATGAAAAACACGTCTCCTCGTCTCACTAATGGAGCTTTTAATTGAACACACAGATTCTCTCTCTCTCTCTTTCTCTTTCCTCCCCCTCTCCATCCTTCTCTCCATCTCTCATCATCGCTCCAGGACTGAAAACGGTTTAGTCCTGTTTTCGTTTTCTTATTTTTGGTTTTGTATTGAAAAACGAATGAACGAATGACGCACAGATTCTTCTCCTTTAAGTTTTCGTCTTTCTTCTCTTGATCGTTGTGGATAAATTCTTCATGTTAGAATGTTTATCCTTTGTGGAGCTTTTTGGTTGAAGATTTGGTGGAACTTCCGGCTCTTGTGAAAAAGCTCTATTCACCTTTTAATAAGACAGAATTTAGACCTAAAACTGTAACAAAAACACATTTAGTTTTTCTTTCTGTTTTCTTTTCTGTTGAGAAGAAACATCACAACACTTTGTTGGCTATTGGCAATTTTAAATTTTAAATTTTTCACATCAGATTGAGGTTATAGTTAGGACCAGGATTATTTTATTTATTTATTTTTAATTTTTTCACATCAGATCGAGGTTATAGTTAGGACCAAGATTATTTAATTTAATTTAATTTTATTTTTTTTATCACATCAGATTGAGGTTATAGTTAGGACCAAGATTATTTAATTTAATTTAATTTTTTAATTTTTTATCACATCAGATTGAGGTTATAGTTAGGAACAGGATTATTTTATTTATTATTATTATTTTTTTTTCACAACAGATTGAGGTTATAGTTAGGACCAGGATTATTTATTTTATTTATTTTTTATTTTTTTTTCACATCAGATTGAGGTTATAGTTAGGACCAGGATTATTTAATTTAATTTAATTTTTTATTTTTTTTTTCACATCAGATTGAGGTTATAGTTAGGACCAGGATTATTTTATTTTATTTATTTATTTATTTTTTTTTCACATTCAGATTGAGGTTATAGTTAGGACCAGGATTATTTTATTTTATTTATTTTTTTTTTTTTTTTTTCACATCAGATTGAGGTTATAGTTAAGATCAGGATTAGTTTTTTTTTTTATATTTATTTTTAAGCCATTTATTTTCATAATTTCCAGAAAACAAAATATAACAAAACATAGAAAAAAAAAAACAAAAAACTAATAGTATATTGAAAGAAAAATGATATTAGGATTACGTTTAGGAGCAGGTTTGTTTAGATCTTTTAATCACTTCTTTGTAAAACTGAGCTGTATTTTTTAGACAAAAGTAAATTCTAAACGAAGGCATAAGTTGATTGTAATCACAAAAATACAGTCACCGTCTCTGAACCTTAACATTTTCTGTAATTTCATCTGCTGATTATGAACTTAAATCTCTGTCTCTGTGGAAAACCGCGGCTCTGATTGACGCGAACACCAAGCCCCGCCCCCGGATGATGGATGCCGAGCGTTTAGGGAATCCCGTCACGTTCCTTCTCCGCTCACTGGCATTTTCTCTCCCTCCTTTTCTCTCACCTTTTATCTCTATCCTCTGCCATCTCACGCTCTCTCTTTCCGTCCTCCCTCTCTCCTCCTCCTCCTCCTCCTGCGCTCTCTTATAGTGCTAAGTACATATAGTGGTTATATACGGAACGCTGTAAAGAGCAATTGAGTCTAAAGTCCATCGGGGAAAAGCTTAACTGCTCCCAGTCCATGTTCCGTTAGCGGCGTCTCCATTATCGCACGTCGGATTCACCGCTGCTCAAATTATCCGACACAATTAGCCACAAAACCTGTCGGATTTATTGATTAACTTTTCATTTTTTATATTTTTACCCTTTGAAACGCTCTTTTTTTGTTCGATTTTTCAGTTTCTTGACAAACTTGAACGGTCCTAGTATCGAGCCCTGGGGTGCCCCTTTGACACTGAATGCATTATCTTGTTTAAGCAAATTAAAAACAATAACTTTAAGATATATGTATTAAATAAATCTAATGTGTTTGAAAATGTAGTAGGAAGAGCTTTTGTTTTTAAATCTAGGGCTAAACAACGAACCTGCTGAAATAAAATTCTGTTAAAGTTTCACATTTTAAACGCACCCTGAAATCTGAACAAATTAATAAAAAATAAATCACATTTTAGAGCAGGTTTGTACAGATCTTTACTCCAGGGTTTGTTTTTTTCAATTCTGAATTAAAATATTCTCCTTGGAGTTTACATGGAACTAATAATTCCGAATTGAGGTTTACATGGAAAACTCGTTAAATCGTCTTTATTTAATTCCGTTCAGTTCATCGTCTGGAGGTGGGGAAGGTTCTGATTGGACAGAGACACCAACGGATTTATGTCGACCGGAAGAAAACACAAACTTCAGCTGCTACCGGCTTTTCTGTCATCTCGGTTTGTCGTTCCTCCACGGACACAAACACCATCCAAACTTTTCCCGCGGTCGTTCCGATGATAATTGCGAAGCAGCAGCTGGAGAATTGTCTCGTCTCGATTTACGTCTGTGAGCTGAGGAAGAGAAGGGAAGAGTGTCGGAGAAGTACGGAAGCCGAGAGGGGTCACAGCAAACGCAAACGCCGCAACAAATACAAAAGCGACAACGCAACAAAAAAGCCACAACACAACTAAAAAGCCACAACACACCAAAAAAAAGCCACAACGGAAATGACCGCGGGACTCTATTTTAATGCAAACGCTGCAAAAAAATACAAACGCCACAACACAAACACAAATGCAGCAACACATTAAAAAAACATAAAAAGCACAACACATTAAAAAGCCACAACACAACAAAAAGCCACAACACATTAAAAAAAGCCACAAACACATTAAAAAGCCACAACACATTAAAAAAGCCACAACACAACAAAAACAACACAACAAAAACCACAAACACATTAAAAAGCCACAACACACCAAAAAAAGCCACAACACACCAAAAAAAAAAGCCACAACACATTAAAAAGCCACAACACACAAAAAAAAGCCACAACGGAAATGACCGCGGGACTCTATTTGAATGCAAACGCTGCAAAAAAATACAAACGCCACAACACAAACACAAATGCAGCAACACATTAAAAAGCCACAACACATTAAAAAGCCACAACACATTAAAAAGCCACAACGGAAGTGACCGCGGGACTCTATTTCCCGACGGACCGATCAACCGCCAAGTGAAGAACTACAACGTGAAACGAATAATGATAAAACAATAAATTACTTTTACTTACGTTTCCAACTTCTCCGTTCCTTTACTTTTCTTCTAGTTCTTCTTCTTCGCTTGCCGCTTGATCGGTCCGTCGGAAAATAGAGTCCCGCGGTCACTTCCGTTGTGGCTTTTTAATGTGTTGCAACTTTTTGTTGTGTTGTGGCTTTTTGTTGTGTTGTCGCATTTGTATTTGTTGCGGCGTTTGCGTTTGTTGTGACTCCTCTCGGCGTCCGTACAGAAGGGAGGAAGAAGACAAAGTGAGTGTGAAGGCTGCTCTACCTCAGCCCACTCCCGCATCCCGCTCACAAATCCAAAGAGACGTGGAGGAAAGTCCACTGAACGACCGGGATTATTTTTAGGAAGAATAAACGTTTACAAGATCGAGGGATAAATTAATTCAACTTTCAAATTGGAATAAACCACCCACTTACTTCGGGATTAAGTTTAATTCCGAATAATCATTTTCATTAGGAATTAAGTGTTTACATGGACTTTTTAAAGCAGAATTCATTTTTATTTGGAATTAAAGCTCTTATGTAAACGTGGAAAATAAGACAGAATATTATGGTAGTTAAAAAATGTGCTAATTGTGTTTACATTTCGATTACAGTTTGATGAGTCTTGCAACCCTTTTTTAATCCTCTCTTTTTCTTCTCTTTCTTCTTCTGCTCGCCTCTCCGCAGACGCTCCGTGCTCCGAGCTCCAGGGGATGCTCTCGGGGCTCCTCCCTGACGCTCAGATCTCGGCGTCGTCGTACAGGGACATGGTGTGGAGCCCCGGCACCGCCCGCCTCGTGGCCAGTCGCTCCGGGTGGTTCCCCGCGTCGGTGCAGCCCATCGTCGGCGAGGAGTGGCTACAGGTACGGAGGCTCCTGCTTGGTGTGTCAGATGCCCTCCCGTGAAACTGTGTGTGTGTGTGTGTGTGTGTGTGTGTGTGTGTCAGATGCCCTCCCGTCCTCGTATGTTCCTGTAGTTTTAAACTGAGGTCATGTGTGTTTAATTAATCTGCAGATGTTGTGATGTGGAAATTCAGCTTCCACTAAGAGAAACCAGGACTAAACCAGGACTAAACCAGGACTAAACCAGGACTAACTCTGATCAAACCAGATACCAGATGATACCAGAACTATGTGAGGTCTAAACCAGGTCTAAATCAGGACTAAATCAAGACTAAATCAAGACTAAACCAGGTCTAACTCTGATCAAAACAAGGATCATAGTAGAACTAAACCAGGACTAAACCAGGACTAAACCAGGACTAAACCTGGACTTAACCCAAATTAACCTGGATTTAACTCAGATTTAACCAGATCTAAACCAGGTCTAAACCAGAACTAAATCAGGACCAAACCAGGTCTAAACCAGGACTAAAACCAGGACTAAACCAGGACTAAACCAGGACTAAACCAGGACTAAATAAACAGGACTTAAACCAGGACTAAACCAGGACTAAACTAAACAGGACCAGGAATGAACCAGGACTAAACTAAGTGAACTAAAGGTAAAGGATAAATCCTCAGTAGTTTTTACACATTTTCACATGTTCACTTCTTAAACGTTCTAATCTGATCTTATTCCCCGTGGTTCAGGTGGACCTGGGTGTTCCTAAAACGGTCCGTGGCGTGATCACTCAGGGCGCTCGAGGCACAGACGCAGAGAGCGGCGCCACGGGGGAAAACCGAGCCTTCGTCCGGAAGTATAAAGTGGCCTACAGCGTCACCGGGAAAGACTGGAACTTTGTCATGGACAGCAAGACCAGCATGCCCAAGGTACGATAATGACTAACACCAGGGTGACCAAACGGCCGTTTTTCCCCGGACGTGTCTGTTTTTTACGTCCTGTCCTGGGCGTTCGGGTTTTTTTTCGTAAAGTGATGCAAATATCCGGGGTTTCATGATCTTTCATTTGGCCATTAAACTGAGCGTCTGTCGTAGCGTCTGTGACTCAGAAGGAGCGAGACACAAACATTCGGTCTTTCTTCATGTATTCATGATTTTCAGCTGATTTTTTTTTTTTTTTTACGATTTGGATTATTTATTAGTTCAGTAAGAAATTAGCTTTTGAAAAGAAAGGAAACATTAATAAAGTTTGACCTTGTAAATAAACAATTTACATTCTTAAGTATTTGTAAAAGTTTCAGCAAATTCAAGATATTATTTTTAATTTGACCAAGTTTTACCTAATATCTAAAAAACTATAATCTTCTCTCATTTTCAGTAAATATATATTTTTATTTTAACAAAATTCATTTAAAGTTATTAATTTATTCTCCAGAGAATTATTTTTGTCTCTTATTAAAAGCAAATTACAAAATAGGAAAGTTTCCTTTTTCCTCTTTTTTCTTACTTATTTAGAATTTATTATTACCATTTATATTTTTTATTCTTTGTTATTGTATTATTTTGTGATGTGTGAGCTTCTGTGTCCAAATAATTTTCCTTGTGGATCAATAAAGTTTGTGTAAAAATACATAAATACTTTGTGACTCCACATTTCCTGAATAAAACCCGTCCTGTTTTTGTTTTTGTTTTATCGTCTTTAGATTTTCGAGGGGAACCTGCACTACGACACCCCGGAGCTGCGTCACTTCGAGGAGGTGGTGGCTCAGTTCGTGCGTTTGTACCCGGAGCGCTGGTCTCCTGCCGGGATCGGGATGAGAGCCGAGATCCTGGGATGTGATCTTCCAGGTGAGAGCGTCGTTTTTTTCATCTGTGACGAAGACTTTCTGTTATTTACACGGTTCAAGAGGAAGAGGAGGAGGGTTTGGTGTTACATGTCCATAAACCTGGAAGATTGGAGACTTTTCACTCACTTTAAATTAAATCTGTATATGGACAAAATATTACAGTACAATTTAATCCTGGTCTGGTCTTGTTCTAGTCCTGTTCTAGTCTTAGTTTAGTCCTGGTTTAATTCTGGTTCAGTTCCAATTCAGCCCCGATTTAGTCACGTTTTTTAGTCTTAGTTTAGTCCTGGTTTGGTCATGCTGTAGTCTAGGTTTGGTCTTGGTTGAATCAAGTTTTAGTCCTGGTTTCGTCATACTGTAGTTTTGGTCTCGTTCCTGGTTTAGTCCTGGTTTAGTCCTGGTTTTATCCTGGTTTAGTCCTGGTTTAATCCTGGTTCAGTCCTGGTTAAGTCCTGATTTAGTCACGTTTTTTAGTCCTGGTTTAGTCCTGCTGTAATCTTGGTTTGGTCTTGGTTTAATCAGGTTTTAGTCCTGGTTTTGTCCTTTTTTAGTCCTGGTTTAGCCATATTGTAGTCTTGGTTTAGTCCTGGTTTAATCCCGGTTCAGTTCCAGTTCAGTCCTGATTTAGTCAAATTTTTTAGTCTTAGTTTAGTCCTGGTTTGGTCATGCTGTAGTCTTGGTTTGGTCTTGGTTTAATCAGGTTTTAGTCTTGGTTTTGTCCTTATTTAGTCCTGGTTTAGTTATATTGTAATCTTGGTCTAATTATTGTTTAGTCCTGTTTTAATCACATTTTTAAGTCTTGCTATAGTCCTGTTTTCATCCTGGTTTTATCCTGGTTTAATCCTCTGGTTTAGTCCCTGGTTTGGTCTTAATTCAGTTTTATTGTAGTCTTGGTTTAGTCCTGGTTTAATCCTGGTTCAGTCCCTGTTCAGTTCTGATTTAGTCAAATTTTTTAGTCTTGGTTTAATCCTGTTTTCTTCCTAGTTTAGTCCTGGTTCAGTCTCGATTTAGTCACATTTTTAAGTCTTAATTTAGTCCTGGTTTAATCCTGTTATAGTCTTAGTTTGGTTTTGATTTAGTCTTGTTTTCATCCTGGTTTAGTCCTCTTGTAGTCTTGCTTTAGTCCTGTTTCAGTTCTAGTTTAGTCTCTGTTCAGTCCTGGTTTTGTCCTGACTTAGTCACATTTTTTAGTCCTGGTTTAGTCCCGTGTTCTGGTTTAGTCCTGGTTTGGTCTTAATTTAGTTTTATTGTAGTCTTGGTTCAGTCACATTTTTTTAGTCTTGGTTTAGTCCTGTTTTCTTTCTAGTTTAATTCTGGTTTAGTCCTGGTTTGGTCTTAATTCAGTTTTATTGTAGTCTTGGTTTAGTCCTGGTTTAATCCTGGTTCAGTCCCGGTTCAGTTCTGATTTAGTCATATTTTTTAGTCTTGGTTTAGTCCTGTTTTCTTCCTAGTTTAGTCCTGGTTCAGTCCCGATTTAGTCACATTTTTAAGTCTCAATTTAGTCCTGGTTTAATCCTGATATGGTCTTGGTTTGGTATTGATTTAGTCTTGTTTTCATCCTGGTTTAGTCCTCTTGTAGTCTTGCTTTAGTCCCGTTTAAGTCCTGGTTTAGTCCTGGTTTGTTCTTTGCATCCACCTAATATTATTGTATTGCTAGAAATCTCATAAAAACATTATTACCAACAAAAACATACGTTGAAATTCCTTATATTGTATTTTTTGCGTAAAATTATGTGAAAAAAAACACTTCTAAAAACGCAGCTTCGTCTTGTTAATTAATTTAAACGTTCATTTATTTGTTAATTAATCTGTAAAGTTGAAACAGAGCTTCCATCTCCAGCTGAAACACACCAAATTTTTCCAATTCTACGGGCGCTGAGAAGGGCCAAACGTGTTTTTTCTCACATCTTCAAAGGCGGATTCTGAGCCTTTCACTCGGCGCTGCCCTTTACCGAAGCCGAGAAACCCACAGTAACAAGTTTTATGGTTCCAGCGCTTTACTTTTCCTCCTCAAACTCAAATTATCCACCTTGAAAACGCAAAGATGGGGATTTTTTCGAGCGTCCTTTGAAATTCCTCCTTCTCAACTCATAAATATTAAAATTCTGACAGCGTAAAAGTTGGCAGAAAGAGAGAGAGGAGAGAGAAAGAGAGAAAGAGAGAGGTGCAGAGGAGAAATAATAATAATAAAAAAGGTGTAAGCGACAGGTAGCAGCGGCGGTGGAAGCTGGTGACATTTATTGACTGTGTAATATACGTCACGCTGAGAAAACAAGCAGCGCTCCAGCCTCTGTTTGGCTCTGAGGAAATGTCACTTCTGTGGAAATAAATTGGTTCAAGATTGGCTAAAGACGAGCTCAAGGAAGACCAGAGCGGGACTAAGACGGGACTGGACTGGACTGGACTGGACTGAACCTGGACTCGACAAAGACACGACAAAGATGCAACAAAGATTCGACCAAGACTCGATCGAGACTCGACCAAGATTTGACCAGGACTTGACAAAGAGTCGACAAAGACTCGACCGAGGCGACCAAGACTCAACCAAGATTCGACCGAGACTCGACCGAGACTCAACCAAGATTCGACTGAGACTCAACCGAGACTCGACCAAGATTCGACCAGGACTTGACCGAGACTTGACTAAGATTCGACAGAGACCAAGACTCGACCAAGACTCGACCGACACTCGACCGAGGCGACCGAGACTTGACCGAGACTCGACCGAGACTCGACCGAGACTCGACCGAGACTCGACCGAGACTCGACCGAGACTCGACCAGGACTCGACCGAGACTTGACTAAGATTCGACAGAGACTTGACCAAGACTTGACAGAGGCGACCAAGACTCGACCAAGATTCGCCCGAGACTCGACCGAGACTCGACCAAGATTCGACCAGGACTTGACCGAGACTTGACTAAGATTCGACAGACACCAAGACTCGACCGACACTCGACCGAGACGACCGAGACTCGACCGAGACTCGACCAAGATTCGACCAAGACTCGACCAGGACTCGACAGAGACTTCACAGAGACTTGACCAAGACTCGACAGAGGCGACCAAGACTTGACCGAGACTCGACCGGGACTCGACCGAGATTCGACCGAGACTCGACCGAGACTTGACCAAGATTTGACCAACACTCAACCAAAATTTGACAAAGAGTCGACAAAGACTCGATCGAGACTCGACCAAGATACGAACAAGACTCCACAAAGGCTCGACAAAACTTGACCAAAATTCTAACAAGACTCGACCAAGACTTGACCAAGACTCGACTGAGACTTGACTAAACTGGGATTAAACCAAAAATAAATCAGGTCTGAATCAGGTCTAAACCAGGTGTAAAAGTAGGTTTAAACCAGGACTAGACTGGGACTAAACCTGGACTAAATCTGATTTAAATCTGGACTAAACCAGGTCTAAATCGGGTCTATACCAGTTCTATTTCTATAATATAATATTTTTTTGAGAACTAAATATCCCCGTGCGTCAGATGCCCTCCCCTTCGGTGTAAAATCCTTTAACCCCGTCGTTTATTCCTCTCCAAACATGTTGTGAAGTACGAGGGATTCTTGGATTAGTTTAAAGTTCAGATTTCAGTCTCTGTCGACAGAAGTGAACTGAACAAATGCCAGGTGGACGTGTTTAATGCCACACTGCGGAACATTCCAGATAAAACAGGAGGTGGTGGAGTTCTCATAACTCAGGTTTAAAACACAAACTTCCAACACAAAGGTTCCAGTGTGGCTTTAAATGAGTTTGAAGAGAATAATAATGAAAAGTAGTTTGTTCTGCTGGAGCACAGAGCCTC